AAAATTAATGCGGCTAGCTGGTCATGAGCAGTTTAATGTTAGTTTTTATTGGTGCCGAAAAATGAACGTCTTTCCTGTGCGTGGTGCGTAAGATGGCTTTGCTCATTGCATGAGAACATTGCGTGAAAAAACAAAATTGGCCACACGATATATATACATCCTAAAATACCCTGCTGTTTAAATCAAATGAGAGCAAATACCGGTGAAGGCGGAGCTTCTGTTATTTTTATTGTCATATCACATGACCCAACTTTGGCTACGCATTTTGATACAATGGAATAATCTTTTCTTTTTCTTTAATGTACATTTTAAATACAGTATGCGCCAAAAGAAATAGTACTGAGACTCTCGCAGCTGAACATGTAAGTTTGTCGGTCAACGGTGCAAATCTTCGAACCCGCCACGTTTACCAAGTAGCGAAAAGGATTGTTTGTTAGGCAGATGTAGTTGCAAATGGGTCTCTCGGTGGAGGGTAAAATATTCATAGTTGACCAGCATTTTCATCATGTTTGAATAAAGGTGGCAGAATAATTGCTAGAGAAGTTTAAATAGTGAAATATAAAGCACCAAATAACACAGTTATAGAGACGAAAATTCGCCTTTACGGAAGTGTATTTTTTCAATCATTGGAAGAGAAAGTCTGATCGATCAGAACATTTTCCAAAAATGAGAATCACACCCGTTTTCTCCAGCAGGTATTGCGATCGCCCCTATAAAGTCTACGAGGAACATCCTCTAAAACTGAAAATCAGCATTGCGTCTGTTTGACATAGGTGTATTTTTTTTTTTTGTGTATCTAAAACAGGTTGGAAAAAGGCTCAAAGTCAAAGGAATACCTAGGCTTAGATGGATGGGCGATGTGGAAAAAGATCTACAACAGCTGAAAGTCCAAGCCTGGAAAAGAAAGGCGTTAGTTAGGTCTGAGTGGAAGGAAGTGGTGAGGCAGGCCAAGGCTCTACATGGGCTGTAACGCCACAGGGATGGATGGATGGAAAACAGGTTGGACAGCGCTTGGCGGGGCCAGATATACGAGACAGGTTGGTGTGTTGTGGATGGTCTACGAGGTTCCAGAATGAATGAATGAGAGGTACTCCGACGAAATTCACATTCCTTTCAGGTCAATTAAACTTTCCCTTCCACTGACAGAGTACATTTCCCGAACCGTGTGATTCGGTGCCTTTAAAAAAAAAAAATCTTGTACTTCATGTGTGGGTGATACAGCTTGGCACCATTAGCGTCGCGGGAGTTGCCGGAATATTCAATCCGTCATCTCCGGGTTTTTAATTCAAAGTTTGCCTTGTCTTCGATGAGTTGCCGTCCAGGTTAACGAGAGCTGGGAATGCCTTTGCTTGTCTGGGCTATGGCGGGGATTAGGTAACTCGGTTTAGACCGCTCGACCACCCAGCTTCAAGATGGACCTATTTCAGAACTTATCACTCCATATGAAGAGATCGGTATCAAGATTTATTGGCTCACAATCATTTTGGACCTATTTCAGAACTTATCACTCCATATGAAGAGATCGGTATCAAGATTTATTGGCTCACAATCATTTTTTTTAAAGCGGGGGGGGGGGGGG